TTATTTATAGATACTCCTTTTCATTTACTATCCTATTTTCATTTTTATGGTCATAAGTGGCAGGCATTTTTGTTATTATATCAAAGCCAGTTTGAGGTAAGTGAGAGACTGTGAGTGGGGAGTGAGCAATCCACAGCTGGCATCTGCAACCTGAACCCTTTTTTATGCCTCAAAAGCCTCCAAGGATTACTCTGCAAAACTTCAGTAGCAAATTTCTGAATGTTGGAAGCTATTTCCTGCATTTTCTGCTTTTACCCTTGGGAAACAAAAGAAATAAAGATCAATTTAGCATGCCTAAATCAGGAAAAGGGAAAAAAAGAAAAAACCTCAGGTATGGCGAAGAATTCCAAAAATCCAGATCCATCTGAAATGTCTGAGGCTGTGCAAAACTACTCCTCCTTGACAAGAAGGAGATGAAGGAAATGAAATCTGAAAGCAAATTCATGCTAAAAAATATATTGTTTGAGATTCATTTATGAAGTTGACTAAGGGCTCATTGGCATGGTACTATATCTTTAAACAATCTCTTGTTCAGATTCTGAAACTGAAGGGGAAGTAAGTTGAAGAGAGTATGTGTTAAAGAATTTAGCTTGTTTGGAAGCTACAAAGATTTATAAATACAGTAGATACATCTGATTGCAACATTCTTAAGAAATTGTATGAATACAGTTCTGTAGCTTACTATGTAAGGTAAGAGTTACACGGTGTTCAACCACACCAGCATCATTTGTAGCTACACATATATATTCTGCAGCATCTTCATTCTGAAGAAAAATAAACACATTATCAGATGATTGTTCAGTCTGGAACTGACTACATTAAGCAATATCTTAGAAACTTGCAAATGTTAGCTAAATGACTTTTTTTTCAGTATGTGGATAGAAACTTAGTTCATTTTATGAAAAGGAAACCACATTTCTACATATGATCGGTGTTCAACCACACCAGCATCATTTGTAGCTACACATATATATTCTGCAGCATCTTCATTCTGAAGAAAAATAAACACATTATCAGATGATTGTTCAGTCTGGAACTGACTACATTAAGCAATATCTTAGAAACTTGCAAATGTTAGCTAAATGACTTTTTTTTCAGTATGTGGATAGAAACTTAGTTCATTTCATGAAAAGGAAACCACATTTCTACATATGATCCAATTTCCACTGGCCATGTTGACTGGAAATTCTAGTAATCTGGAGTATATAAGTTTAGGCAAGATTGGTTTATAGTGTGCTGATATGGGAGGATAGCCTGGCAAATCAGAAATAAAATAAAGATATTTGTAATACTGCACTGCTTGGGAATTCCTTCTACATGTGTTGCAAATATGACTCCCATAATTCCCAGCCAGCATGGCAAAAGCCATGCATTGGAATTGTAATTCTGCCATATCTAGGGAACTTTAGGAAAATCTGGAGTCATACACAATCATGCATTCTTGCAAAGATATTTTAGAATATATAAAAAAAGAGAAACTGTAGCAGTTACAAAAAGTAAATGTTGAATTCATAACCCTTAAAATTGTCATGAAGGTAAAATGGGATAATCCTAGGAAAGCCTCTTCCTGGAAGAAAATGGGATACAATCATGTATAATTAAATCCAATTATTGTATTAGTACAGTGCTAACTTACTACTGTGCCATAGATGGCAAGGGATCCATTGTTAAGTTGTCTGATTCGATCACTCATCAAAATGCCAACTCCTTTTTTGCTCCATTGAATAGTTGGAGGAGGGTCTCCTCTGACTTCACAATTGAGAATGGCATTGCCACCTAAGGGTTCAATCCGACTGGAATGATAATCTCCCATGAATACTGGAGGCTCTGAATTTCAAAATAGTAAGTATAAGCAACTATGTAGAAAATAAAAGTTTGATCAGAATTGAAACCCCCAAAGCTAAGAAACACTACATGGGTCTAAAACATGATCCATAAATATATGAAATTTAGTCATGATATTTTTCTAGGCATTTCTGCTATTTTTGAATCATTTTGAATGTAAGACATTTAGTTAATTATAATATGTACACAATTTTGTTTCAGCTCTAATTTGAAACAGAAATTTTAATTCTAACTATTGATGAAAATTAAATACTTTATTTTTGTAAGCTGAATAGTTCATTGTCATTATTCCTCCTTGCCATACATAGTATTGTAGTTAGATGGAATATGAAAGTAGAAATCAGTGAAACAATGCCCAAACTTACCAGCAATACATACCTTTAACATAAACAAATCCAAGAGCCTTGATAGAACCAGCTAGGTTTTCTGCCATACACACATAGGTTCCTGAGTCTTCCTTAGACACTCTTTCAATAACAAGTTTACTCAGTCCATTCACTCCATCATATTGTGCTGGCCAAACAAGAAAAGTTAAAGAAAAATAAGCCAACATAAATTAAAATATCTTTGGTAAAATATATTTTATTCATTAAAACATGTTTTGAAGCCATGTATTTGGATATTGACTATTTCTATAATTGACATAGCTTTGCAGTAAAAACAAATAAAAACCCACCTTTGGAGTTAGAGGCAATCATATTGCCTTCTTGTCTCATGTTCTACTTACAATACAGGTAGTCCTCGATTTATGACCATTCATTTAATAACCGTTCAAAGATACGATGGTACTGAAAAAAGTTACTTATGACCAGTCCTCGCATTTACAACTGTCGCAGTATCCCTGTGGCCACGTGATCAAAATTCAGACACTTGGCAACTAGCATGTATTTACAACAGTTGCAGTGTCCCGGGGTCATGTGGTCAACATTTGCAACCTTCCCAGGGGACTTCCAACAAGGAAAGACAATGGGGAAAGCTGGATTTGCTTAACAACCACGTGATTCACTTAACATCCATGGTGATTCTTTTAATGACCACAGCAAAAAGGTCATAAAATCAGGTACAACTCACTTAACAACTGCATCACTTAGTAATGGAAGTTCTGGTCCCAATTGTGGTTGTAAATCAAGGACTGCCTGTATATCTTTTATAATGGAGCTTTCTGCTGGTTGTTTTCCAGCTATTGAACTCCTTCCAGACAAAGGTGTCTCTAAACATAACCATATTTAGGAAACTAAGGCATCTGGTAGCCAGAGTTAAGGAGGTATTTAGTGGCTTTAAGGGTTTGGGTATCTGATGTTTTAGTAATACAATTTATGGCTGGGGATTAAAATAATAAAATATGTTTTACTAGTCCCAAAGCTGCAGGTTAAAACTAAAAAATATATATACATGAACAAGCCATATGACCCAGTACTATTTTTTTTTTTTTTTTACTACCACTATGGATTCCTCACTCTCCCCTCATCAGCTCACCAGGAGGATTTCTTTTGCAAATCACACCCCTCATCCGACCAAAAAAAAAAAAAAAAATGGACACACACCCATAACTACTGAAATATGCACAGGTTACATGGGATGGAAGGATGATTATTTGTTTTTCTGTCTGTGAAGGGGAAGGGCTGCCTGTGTATCCCTGGAGGGCTAAAAGCTCTCTGGTGGGGCTGGACAGTAAACTCAGGACTTGGCAAATCAGAACAGAGATTGAGCTTTGATTCACTGCCCACATCCTTTGTACTCCGTTTTTGGCTGAGCTGAGCTGAGTAGTGATTGACCAAATGTGCTTTCTGTGAACTCAGGAGTTGCCATTACACAGACCACACTGAACGGTGTGTTTTGGATGTGCAGATGGTAAAAGGAAACACAAAGTTTATCTTTACAGTGTGGGGGGAATTCTTTTCAGTCTGAAGGAATGCTCTGTATCTCATTTCACAGCCTACTGTTAACTGTCCTTTCCTGGATTAACTTACCTGGGATAATATTATTGTTAAATGTCCATTTAATGTTGGGGACAGGAACTCCAGTTGCTTTACAAGTTAATTGCAATTGTTCTCCTTTGTTTAAAGCCACATCTCCAGGGAGTTCAGTAAAAGCTGGGAGCACATAAACTGTTAAATTGACAGTATGGGTGTCTTCACCAGCAGCATTGCTGGCAATACAGGTATAGCTCCCAGAATCTTCAGGCTAAAGAGAGGGGGAAAACAATTCCATATACACAGCACAGATTAAACAAAAGGCAAAATCCTGTTAATAAATATAATAGCCATTTGTACTAAGGAGAAAATCTCAGAAAGTGTTTAAATAATGTTTGCATGTGGATTGGAACCAGCCAGCAGGACACCAGCAACAAAATGTCTCATTGTGATTTTTGGCACTCTCTTCGAAAAGGAAAGGAAAGGAAAGGAAAGGAAAGGAAAGGAAAGGAAAGGAAAGGAAAGGAAAGAAGAAAAAAAATTGCTCCCAAATGATAGGACATTATAAAGAGGTTAGGTATTGAGTTTGTCACAGGTTGAAAGAAGATGCAACAGAAGAAACATTGTACTCCTTCCCCACCAAATTTCCATTTTTTAAAAAAGGCAAGCAGCTACAAATTACATTTATCAACAACAACCATGTCTAAGCTAGGATTGGATGTCAGAGCTGACAGGTAGCACTAGGGACGGATGGACATGAAGAGACAAATGATGAAATGTGCATCATGCAAATGCCCCAATTTACATATTTGCATCAGATGTTGGGCAACAAGTGCATAGCTGTAGTGTTTATATGATTACATCACCATGGGTGTTTTATCATTTTGGCAAAATTGTAGTTTGCTGTGCACACCGGTGTTGCTGTAGTAGTGGGTTCTTGCATGAAAAGAAAATTGGATTAGATTATTTTTATATTCTAAATCCGAACAGACAGGGAATCCCAGTTGAAGGGATAATAGGCACACACAGAAGAATAAACCTGCTAACCTTTTGCATTCAATCTTCTGTTTTTCAGTACATATTTATTTTCCTACTGCTACCACCTTCTGCCCTATAAAAAGTTATCCACTAAAAGGGAGGCATTTAGTACAATGTTCATGATTAAGAAAATAAAGGCAGTCCTGATCCTCACTCCCATTGTTCCTAAGCATGCTGTTTAACTGAAGCTTACCTTAGCATTGTCTATAATGAAGTTTCCATATGGTTCAGAGCTGTGTTTAGCTAAAGCACTCGTGTCATCTTTCCTCCAGGTCACTGATGGTGCTGGGATTCCATCAGCAACACAAGACAGAACTACATGTGAATTTTCAACAACCATATAGTGGTCCTCTGCAGCATGGATTTTTGGTGGGACTAAGAAATTTTTAAAAAACACACAAATAATTGCTTTTATTAAAATTAGACATTTTGTATATGCATATGGGTACATGTATCACTAAGGAAGGGTCTTCAACATCTATTAGGGGACATTTGTATAGATGGTGATTGAGAATGATTTGTTTGATTTGGAGAAAGTAACACTATTGGAAATGATGGCTAAACATTCTAGGCATTTTAGTCCAACACATCTGGATGGCTGAAGAAGGTTGAAATATAGCACCGTATTCTACAGAAATATAAGATGTGATAAAACTGGAAAAAAAGTAATTTTAATAGGGAAATTTGGGAACTAGCAAACATTTACCTATAAACCCTTAAATTATATAGGCAATAAGATTATCTTTAGTTTATCAGTATGCAGTATTCAGAGCTCACATCCAGTATTCTGCCACAAATAAAGAATTCTATTCTATGCAGCTATAATCCATCAAAGTATAGGTTTTAATTTTAACACTGCTATGTTCAGGGCAAATATCTCAGAGCACTGTAGGTATCTTTATATGAATGATCTTTTTAAAAATAAATTTCATTCCACTATAACATTATTTTTTCCACTGTTCCTACAATCTTTGTTTGGGAGTGGGGAGGAATGTACAGATGATCAGGATCGGATGGGATGTTACCCAACAAAGCAAGCCTACACAATCCAAAAGATGTGGCATCTTGGCTCCTGCAAGGAGATTGATGGAACCTAAGGGCTAATTGGATTGTGTAAGGGGTCAAGCCTTTGGACAAAGCATTCTGATTGGTTTAGGATGTTTGGGTAACTGCCTTTCTCATCCTTTTTAGAATTAGATTGAGATCTGGATACAGTCCAGAAAATCAGCTAACACAACACCGTGCGTTTTCTATCCTGCCAGCACATGACTAGGTATAATGTTTAGAGTAATTAGGAAGCTGTTCTAAGGTGAGTGCTGATTTTTTTTTTTAAAGCTCCCGAGGCAAAAGCTGAGCAGGATCCATTCCTCTCCCTGTTGCCTCTCCCATGTCCCCACTTTGCGTTTGCTTCTAGAAGGCATCCGCCTCTGGTCTGCAGTTTTGCAGCTCTATAACTTACAGAATGGGCCACAATGGCTGCTGGGCTATGGTGTGTATATCTGTGTGCATACAACACCACTGCCTGGATCAATGGATTTTAATTGACCATCTTCTCATTTCAAGTGGCTATCATTGCAGACTTCATCAGTCATTGGTGGAGTGGGTTACTGCCATTGGTCACTGTTGTTGGTGGTTTGGAGGCAGGGCCATTTTGATCCTTCCCTTCTTGGCTATGTAAAAACAAAATGCACTAAAATTTCAGCCAGCTATAGCAGATCCTATCCTCTGTGTCTAGATTTGTAGTTATACGGTGATGTGGTTAACAATGTATAATATCAGGTTTCCAGCCATTATTTTCAGGGTGAGTTTAATTCTCTGCAATAGTCTGTTGATTAAAGCAATCATTATATGTTTATATGTGGAATGAGAAATGTAAAAGCTGGCCATTATTTTAGCTTCCTCAATGTTTAATAAACTAACTCAAGTTTTCCAGGTCTTATTTTACTTACCAAGGACAGTGAGTTCCATACTGGAGCTGCTGGATCCAGCCATATTAGTAGCTGTGCATGTGTAACGCCCAGTATCTGTAGGCTGAACGAAGGCAATCTGCAAAGCCCCTGTGCTGAGAACTCGTCGCCTCATGGACTCTGTAACTAGCTGTCCATTTTTTTGCCATGCAGTCACAGGTGAAGGGTAGCCTTCTGTTTCACACAACAGGGTGACAGGTTTATCCACAACAACCACATATTCTTTGGGATGGGATTTGATAGCTGGAGGAACTGAAAAGTCATTGCTCAATTGAATTTTTGCTTGAATTTTGATTCAGAGGCAACAAATCAACTTTACATACATTTACATACATACAGTACGTATATGCAATACACTTCCCCACAAACCGACCTATTTGAAATGTCATTTTATTCCTGGCTAACCGTTTTAAACATTTGATGCTTGCAAGGAACTCTATATCAGTAAGGGAACTGATATCCAACATTCTCTATTTAAAGATTTCCTTGGCCTGGTATCCAGCTGAGAAGAGATATTGGATTGATAGCCTGTGAGATAACTTTAATAAGTTTGTTTTTCCATTTGGTGGGCTGAGCCATAGTTTCTTCCAGGCACATTCTGGGTAGCCTACCAGAGTCCATTTGGAGAACCCTCCACAACAGGTAAAAGCTTTAACTGTTGAGTAGCTATATTCAGGGTAGTTACCATGGAGACTGGCATATTCTTGTTGGTTCCAGGATACTTCTTAAAAATGGGTCTGGTTTTGTTCAAGCACTATTCTGCACCATAGGTCAGCACTGGAGCTATTTTTATCTTGTAAACCTTTGACTGATTTGCTGAACTAAATGCTATGTCCCCCCCCCCCCCCCCTTTCCTTCATTAAGTTCTAAAAGGATACCTTTCTTAGGGACAGTTCTTAACACAACACTCCATGAAAAGCGCTCTTAAATCATGTCTATTGTTTTCTATGGTAACATCAAATAACAAAGTTGTGGCTTACGTATAAAACTTACCTTGAATTTTTAATTTGATCTTCCCAAGAGCAGTGCCTGCTGGATTCTGAGCAACACACATGTAAGTTCCAGCATCTTCAGCAGCAGCTTTAGCAATCTGTAGGCTGCCACTGGGAAGCATTGTATACCTATTCCCTAGAAACACATACAGAGTATGTTAAATAAGACACAAAGGAAGAGCAGGTTAAATCCTAGACAAGTTATATGAGGAATAAGAGAAGGAACTAAATTTTGAATAAAAAGACATATGGACCATTTTCAGATATTTACAAAAAAATATAAAAATAGATAAGGGGGGAGTTTAAACTGCACACAGTTACCCCTGGATAGATTAGTAGAGAGCATCCTAGGTGGTTAGTCTGTTTTCTGGTAAATTGGTGTTTTGTCTACTACAGCAGCCATCTTGTGAATAGGCAGGTCTGCCATGGCAGTCATGCGGTGAGGGAACTCAAAACATGTGCATATTTTACAGAAATGCCTCTGGGTCAGCAAAGTGGCCTATCCCTTTTTGTAGAATACAGAAATGTAGGACAAATTCCCTTTCAATTATGTGTGGCTAATTACTCTGAAGGGAATTGAAAATTACGATCAAAACAAAATACCTGTTGTAATAACACTGACCCCTTCCTTTTGCCATGATATTACAGGATGAGGCGTGCCTAGTGCTTCACAGGGTAGGAGGACTGGGTTGTTCAGAATAACGTCTAATGCTCCAGGTTGCACTCGTATTGTCGGTGGTTCTAACAGGAGCACAAAAAAAGAGTTGGTTAATGATCTAAAAAAAACACTCCTTACTGCTTTCTCTATATAAATTGCTTTTTAAGCGGGGGGGGGGGGGGAGACCTTTCTCTGAGTGCTTCTACCAAACGAAAACCCATAAACTATAAATTGCAATATACAGCTGCCCAAACATTCCACCAATAGCAACTTAAAACATTTTTATTCTCAAGATTTCAAGAATTTAATATTAAGTAAAAATGGCTTGTAGGGTAAGAGCAGAGCTAAACATATAATCACAATATTCCAGGTGGAAGAATTTTCCTCTATAATGTAGAAAGCTAGCAGACAGGTGAAAGATTTAATTACGATTTATTTCTTGGATATGTTTATTCCTAAACCTTGATAGGCTTTCACATGGAAGGAATAAAGAATGTCCATGCCAGATCTGCTACAGCCATACCATTTGTCTGTTCTGAATGTGTAGAAAGCACTTATATTTATAGTTGTGCGGAAGAAAAATCCGTAAATGAGATAAGAAACATACAAGTTCCCACCTCACCCTGAACATGAAGGGTGATATGTCTATGGGCAGAACCAGCAGCATTCCTTGCAGTGCAGGTATACTTTCCTGCATGGTCCAACTGAGCAGAACTTATGTTGATAGCACCTAAAAAGAAGAGATGAGAAACTGCCATCAATTATGCTAAACAGTGATTAATGACCCTTGGCAATTCTCCGGTGGTGTAAGTACAATTCCAGGAAAAATGAAACCAGTGTTTAGAGTCTGAAATGTTCCAATGGAATAACAATATGTTCTTCAATCTTTTCTATTCTGCATTACATCTAAAGTGAGAGGTTACTATATCACATCTAAATTGGGCAGCATAAGACCATCAGAACTCCAAGAGGAGGATCATCCTAGGCTGGGCAATGATTGAAGAGATATATGAAGAATTTAGATATTGCTGCAGACTTGATGTGAAATACGTTCCTGACAAAATGTCCTATTTTACATAGCAGATAAGAGCAGCCATACTTAACTCTCTACCTTCCTCAACATTTTTTCATTACAACACCCCACCACCATCACATCACAACTCTGTTCAGCTATATACTGTTTTTGTGGCAGGACTTTCCATCACAAACATATGTGTAACTTGGGCAAGAAGAAATGAAGTTGGATGAGGAGGTAAAGTGGGAAAACAATTGGCCTGAGCAAGGGCATGCATGCTTTCCTGTGGACAATTTATCCCTTGCAAATCACTCCTTTCATTCTACTGCTTTCAGCTGGCAAAATGAGACCCAAATGTCTAGAAACAATACATTCCCAATAGGTCCAGTCAGACTCTCTGACCCAAATGGAAAGTGAAATTGTCAGAAACATTTTCCCCAGATCCCAATGTGTATTCAGGATCCCTGTAGATCCACAACCTGAAGACAGAATTCTGAAGCCATTTCCTCGTGAGGGACGTTTCATTCCGTTCTTGGTCCAGTGGACTGTCGGCACTGGAACACCTGATGCAGTGCAAGGGATGACTATCGGGGACGACTTGGTTACTAATAAATCTGTAACCTCATCTGCTATGGATGGTGGCACTAAAGTAAATAAAAACAAATATAAGTATTGATCATTTATATTGTGATGATGTCCCCTTGAATGACCTACAATTGCCAGAACAATAAGAACAAAGTAATGGAAATACCATCTATCTATCTATCTATCTATCTATCTATCTATCTATCTATCTATCTATCTATCTATCTATCTTGTTTATATAATACATAAAATGTGGGAACAATCCATCCTGATTTCTTTCCAAGGCAAATGATAAGATAGCCCAGTAAATTTACTTCTTGATTCAAAAGCCACATAAGTAGAGCAAGCTGCATTCAGTAATGTGCATACAGTAATAAGAAAAGGTGTATACATTAGTGTGTGTGTGTGTGTGTATGATATGATATGATACATATTAGGAAAAGATTGATGTAAAATGTATAAAAGATGAGTATGTTAGGTAAAATAGCATATAGAAAAAAATATGGATCTTGATGTTTCTTTTTTAAATGCAAAATGATTAAAAATACTTTATGGAATGGATTAATTACTGACTAATATATGGGATACAAACAAAGCAGATATTAAAGTAATTTACAGATCTACAATACAATGTCTTATAGTACCATATTGATTGGATGAATTTTCATTCTGTGCAAAAGAAAAGGTTTAGCAAGTCCCAGAGTTGAAAAGAAAAATGAGCAAGCCCCAGAGTTCAGCATCGACAACTTTCCATTTAGCTATCATCACCTTTCTTCTATTTTTAATTTTATTTTTGAATCTGATTTTCATCGTTAAAATAAAATTCTCCAACTGAAACTTCCTAGCAGATAAGCTTTAAAAATTTACAAGAACATATTCCAGTGTTAATACTGTACCTTCTACCATGAGACTAATGGTCCTTTGATCTTTGCCTGCTTCATTTGCTACTGTACATTCATAGAGTGCAGTGTCTTCTACAGTAGGAGAAAGGATTACTAGTGATCCTGAAGATAAAAGCCTTGAAGAAAGGATAAAAAGAATTATTACAGTTCACTGCAGTGTTTGTCACAGGAGATATATTTCAGATACTGTTACTAAGCAAAACAGCAGTAGAAACATAGATTTCAGGCATTATTCTCTTCTAGAATTTTTGGTTTGAGGCAGAGGTTCTCACTAAAATTTTCTCTGCATCAAATTGAAATGATAGGTTTGGAAACTTGATGTCCGGGGATTCACTTCAGATCTAATCATTGTGCCCAACCCAAAATTAATCAGGATTTTGTTCTTCTAATGTTTTTATTAGTTATTATCATCTAATAATCATAATAACAAGAACCAGCAAGGGCCTCTGATCTTAATCCTGTTTCTCAATCTGGCTATCACTGCTTCCAGGCAACTGGCAAAAACCAGCATGGCTTTTCTTGATACAGGTGAAAATGAACGAATTGTTATCATCACACTGAACTAGAAGGTGACAGAAGCCCTTCCTTCTCTGAAGGACATCCTATTTCATCTAAAACATCTCCAGCAAATTCCTTTCCAATATTTTCTGCAAGAAGAAAGGAAGATTCTGTATTCTTCTCAGCTACATGACATATCCAGACAAGATCTGCTTGGCTGGGAGGCAATTCTGCACTGCAGCCCAAACTACTTGTGCTGTTCTTGGCTATTTTTTAAGGCAGATTCAGAAAGTACAGCTCAGATTGCAGTGGGTTGGCAAGTAACTAGGCTGGTGTTCAGTCCAGACTTAGGGTCACTGCAAGACCTGATCGGTGTTCCCCTGATTCTTGTTCTTCCTGTCCATACAGAAGGCAAGCTTTGCTGGGGGCCTCTTATGTGGACTTCTCTAGTGCCTGCCTTTCCATTTTAGAGAATGTTTTCTTGTCACTAGTCCCCATGCCTTTCCCTTATTTTCCCACATGCTTTCACACCCTCTTCCTACATATCTCTTTAGACCATTTCTTTTCTCTTTTTTCCCTTAAGACACCTCCATACCTCTGATGCATAATCAAAGCAATAGGAAATGGCTGTTATTTCATTTCTACATTCTCCTCTAAGTCCATGGAAATTTTGTAGCAAGGAGGAATTGATAGTTCAGCTTTATAGAAACAAAGTAGCAGCATTGCTACATTGAAATTTAAGGATATTTTTAAAAAATAAAGGAAGAGAAAGATGCTTTGCAATACTATGAACAGGGTGGAAAGCGAGGGGAGCATGTTTCAAACAGCCTGGGAAGAAACTGAAAGGGCATCCATGGGGAGATGTAAGGGTTGAATGCATCATGAACTTCTAGAGCTGAGGATAGTTCATTGATTTAACAAGTCATTGTTGGATAAACTGCAAGACTGTATAAAAAGAACAACCACTGACCAATACTGAACATAGCCTGCCCAGAACAGCTGGAGGGGAGGGTTAGGGTTAGACATTGCACCAGAGCTGAGGCTGTACTAGAACAGAATGAAGCACTGCAGACCATCCACACTGAAGGGCTTAAGACCACTCAGGTCAGAAAACAGCAGTTTTGAATTGAAGATGGAAAATCAGGCACAGAGTGAATTTGCAATGGGGTAGAAGTGGAAGGAGGATGATATTCTGCATTCAGACAGCACTGAGTAGACCAGGCAGAAAGTACAGATTTGCCCTATGTGTATTTGAAAAACAGAAGGGTTTTCCCCCTTCTGGGATGGAAGAGAAGGGTTTTTTATTCTCTTTGAAACACAATATGCAATCATACTGTAGCTCTGTACACATAAAAACATGTAAAAACGCATATTTCACCTGAACAAGTTCTGGTTCTGATCCAAATTGAGAACCTGCCCATTTTTTTCCCAGGTTACGGCTGGCTTAGGGATCCCTGTAGTTTCACATGGTAGTGTGGTTTGTATATTTACAGTTACTGTGATGTTGACAGGTCCTGGAGCAATACATGGAGGAACTAGAGAAAAAAGAAAAAAAGATAATACATTGGGCTTTACCAAATGAGGGATGGAAAATAGAGCACAGTTTATCATAGCGGATAAACTAACATTTAACAGATCTAACACAAGTTCATACATTTTCAGGGACAGTAGGAGTTCTCTATAGACATCATTTATTCTCATCCAACCCTTCCTGATGTCCAGTTAACTAACCAGTCAAAAGGGGAAATGAGCAGCGATTGCCACATAATGGCCCAGCATGGCAGAGAAAATGGGATTATATGGGTCCTGTACAGGACCATGCCTACCATTCTTAGTTTTAAGGGCCATTCCATTTCTTCTATGGTACTTACTTATCTGAAAAACAGCATACTTACCATGGACATAAAGATCAATCCGCTTACGCTCAGTGCCAGCCACATTGGTTGCCATACAAAGATACCTCCCAATGTCAGTAACTTGGGCTGAATGTATATGAAGAGATCCATTACCTGACAGTGAATATCTGAAGTAAAACAGAGGGGATTTAACACAATCTCAATACAGACAGTGAGAATATTTTTCCTTATTCACACAGCCATTTTTCCTCTGACCCATATTTCAAAAGAAAGTCCACTAGAAAATTAATATTAAAAACATATAAATGAAAGAAGCAGAAAGCATATATTTGTGGTTGCTTTTCTGGTTCACAACAATGACTTAAAAGAGCCAAAAAGCTTTTAAAATAAATATAGAAGTATAATGTATTCCCATAGTTGCAGAAAATAACACAAGAACATGCACATATTCTTATGTACTCATATGCAGAATCACCAGCACATATATTTTCAATTCAGAACATTACAAAGCATTGCATGAGAAACTACCCGAAAAGTCTCAAAAACTGTTACTTCGGGTATTGCATCTCCACAGAGTTCAAACTGAAACTCCCAAGATAACCTGCCTTTAGAAAACAATTATGTATCTTATTTCTACTGAAAAATAAATACTACTGCAATATATTCCTAAGTATACTGATGTATTAAATAAGTCCCACTTACCCTCAAATACTGCTGCTTTAAAGCTTAATTGCATATTTCTAAAACTAAACCAGACCCAAATTTAGTAATAATCTCCTATCATCTTTGATTTTAGCTCAACTGATGCAGTTTGAAATGTAGGGAACAAAATGGAGGCTCCTATTTTCGGCAGGGAAAAATCTAACATTTGATCAAACATTTATTATACAAGAGACTTAAAATTTGGTTGGTTCTGTCAGTTCTCTGTCCATGGGTCAAAATCCAATATTGCTGAAATTACATTAAATATAATCTGTATGGATCACACCAAAAGTCCATATAGGTGAGCATTTGGTTTCCAACCGTAAATGTGCTTATAAGTGCGAAATGAATGCAACTACCCTTCCCTATTGGGTTTGTAAGTGCACTCTACCAAAAATTTATAGTAACTTTGTTAATTTTATACAGGTTCTAATGTGTAAAGTTCTTTCTACATTTTAAATGGCAGACCATCACTAATACTATATCATCAGATTTTCTTTTTACTGGTTCTTCTGACTAGTATGAACATTTGCTTTAATTTCAGACATCGGAGAAATTCACCATAATATCAAAATAGATAGGAGAAAATTCATTTAATCTAAATCTCAGGCTCTGTTTTTATACTATCCCAAATTATTTGGCCCAAAACTTAGCCTAGAAATTTTTGAACATATACATATAATGACAGGGACGGTTTTTCATGCGCAGACATCTCGAGGATATTGTGCTTAGATGTGAGACAGCAAATATCATGAATCCATAAGACCTGTAGAAATGTCATGCGTGCTGAATCAAGGCAGGTAGAGCATCTAGCTACCCCGGGTGATTCTGAAAAAAGCTAGTAGTCAGACTTGGTTAGTACCTGGATGAGGGACCACAGGAAATTCCAGAGTGGAATGATTTTGACTGGTTGGTCAAAATCATTCCATAAGAAGGTAATGGCAAACCATTTCCATACTCTTGCTAAGAAAACTACATGGACAAAATTATGTAGTCACTAGTAGACACACATGCCAGGCTATAGCTTCAGTAAAATCCACGCCCAACAGCCTGAGATCTAAGCTTTCCATTCAGATATGTTTGAACTTTTTGTTCTATCTGCTTGAACAAAGTCAATGAGATCAATTTCCCAACATAATAAATACATTAAGAAAAATATAGAGAAGGTACCACAGAATGTCTGTTCAGGAAATCAATCTTTACCTGACATTGTTTCCAGCAAAAAGGGTTCCATCTTTTCTCCATGAAACTCTTGGGGCTGGAATGCCTTCCACAGCACACTCCAAGACAGCAGACATATTAATATTCGCAATCACAGTCTGAGGACCACTTTTGATTGAAGGAGGAACTATGCAAAGGAGGATTCCCAGACAGAATCAGGGAGTTAATTTGCTCTAAGATTTGTTGAAATATGAGCTGTTGCCTTCCACTTGAAACGGGATTTTCTTTTATCCCAAAATACTGGCCCTAGGTTTTAACTATATAAAATTGGTTATATTTTATGCAAACATCTACCAGATCTGGGCTGTATAAAATCTGGATAACCACTAAATGCAGCAGAGTAATACAGAAAACCCTAACTTGTTGCGAATAAGTATTTAGAGTTTTGCAGCCCAGGTACAGCAGCTCTAATGGACTGCTTATGGCAAATATTTCTGTATTTGTATATTACTTAAAACAGAGATACACTTTATATAATATAAATTCCTATTTACTTTTCTTATGTGCAACCTACCAAAAATGTATAGTAAGTTTGCTAATTTTATACAGATCTATTTATTCAATGAGGCTGATTTCCAGGTAAGCATGCATTGGATTAGGGAAAAAACCTATATATTTTAAAGTTTCCTAAGCACTGCTTTCTTACCAAAGGACACAATGCCATGTAAAATTAAAAAGAGAAGATTGGAGAACATCCTTTTTGAACAGCAAGCTTATCTTCATAATTTACAAAAGCTGCTTTAGCTCTCAAAATTAAAAAACTTGCATTTTTAATCAAAATTAAAAAAAAAAAAACCTTTGGGGAACTTTCTTCCACCATGAAATAAACAGATCAAAGACCACAAAACCTATTTCTTTGAGAAATCCAATATCTTGAAAATTCACTCATGGAAATATCCCACAAAAGTTATATAGATTTATCTTCTTTTCTTACCATTTACAGCCAACACAAACTCTCTTGCGGTTCGGCCTGCAACATTGCTTGCAACACAAGTATAATTTGCCGCATCCTTGAGGTCTGCATTGTTGATTTGCAAATATCTTCCACTGGATAAGATGCGAACTCGGGGAGTTGCCTGAGAATCAAATTTTCAAAGCCGAATCTCTTTTCAATAATGGACAGAAACAATCAATACAGTCTATCCTATTTATACAGGATATGGGACAATAGAATTTAGGAATGGGAGGTAATATTGATAAAGAATACCTTATTTGTTTGTTTGTTTAATTTATAACCCATTTGTCTTCCAAGAGCTCAAGATGGCTTTCAGGGCAATCTCTATTTTATTCCCATAATAGCAACCCTAGGATGCAAGGTCAGCTGAGAGACAATGACTGGCCCAAAATTATATACTGAGTTTCCATGACTAAGGATGGATTTGAAACTGGGTTCCTCTAGTCCTATTTCAGCACCTTAAGTGCTACATTCAGCAGTCACTACAGCTGTGTTTGCAGAACACAAATTCTGCAATGCCATTCCCTTCCCCAGAGTACTGATTCACCTTTTTGCTCGGCAGCACATGAATTAGGGTGACGGTGATGGTGACTTTTTTAAAGACCTCACAACTACCACAAGGGGTGGGGGGTTCTATTACTCTGTTTTCTACTTTCCACATTTTAAATTTTTATCTCTTTGAAGGGGATTTTAAAAAAAACTGTGATGGTCCAATCAGAGTAAGCACAGCTATGGACCAAGTCAAGAGTAGCTACATACCCCTAGTGTGGCCACATGGTATGGAGGAGTTAAAATAGAGAAGACAGAGACTGAAATTCCTAGTGAGGCCCTGCTTTTCTGTCTCAATTTGGGAAGTGATGAGAGTCAACTAGCATTCCAGTAAAAAATCTACATCTTCGGAGAAGAGTTAATTGATTTAGGGTAGAGGAAACTAATTTAGCCCCAGACAAGACTGCTTCTATCTAAACTGTTCTAAATTAGTTAAACAATCATTTGTGTACATCTGACAGTTTTCGTAACATGTTTACCACCTTCTCCTCATAATCCAAGTATGTTGTGCAAACTAGATAAATTCATTTATATAGTTCATATAATTTATAATATATTTATACTTTATTTTACTTATTTGGTAAATTTTCATTTCACATGAAACTCAAGGTGACCTTTTAGGGGTTTCCCATCCTTAATTTCAGGAAACTAGCTTTATCGTGTGCCCCAAGGCCATGTCCTACTTTAAGCAATACTAGTTCATTTTAAATTAAGATTATTGATATAATACTGTGGAAAAAGTCTGGACAGCATGCTTCCCCATAGAATCCCTAATTATTCTCCTTAATGGAGGGGTGTAAAGCTTTGAATCCAGCATGCACATTTGGAATGTTGATAGTATATGCCATCAGCATTCTCACAAAATGGCCACAATCGGTGTTGGGAAATTGAGCATATTTCCCAGGAAAGCAGTGGATCCTCCATGGTTTTTATTGTCTAAGAATGCCTCTAGGACTATATGTGCCATTCCACCCCACCCCCCAAATTGAAATATGGTGGGCAAAGAGTGTTGGGAGACCTTGAAAGCAGTAAACTATTTCATTATGCCTGCAAAGGAGCCTCTATAAGTTAAATCCAACATGCACAAATGCAGTGCTAAAGTATATATAGTAAGGGGTCAAGTGGATCAGGCCTACAAACAGTGAGCTAAGTATGTGTAGACCCTTATGGCATCATGTCCCATGTGGTTTACAAGCCTAATCCTCCACCCTATGTACAATTTTAACACCTCCGCAAAATCTGTTTGACCAATTAAGATAAATCAGAGGGAAGAGACATATAGAATATACCTCCAAAATTTCTCCATCTCTGAGCCATGTAAGGGCAGGAGGAGGCACTGCATCTGATTTGCACTCCAGTATAATCTGCCGGTTCTGTAGCACACTCAGATTTTGAGAACTACTTGTGCCAGCAATATTAGGGGGAACTGTCAAAGAAAAAAATACGAATAACGTGATAAATGCAAAAACTTAACATGTATCTGTATCTGTATCTGTATCTGTATCTGTATCTGTATCTGTATCTGTATCTGTATCT